CCCTTCTTTCTTCCACATTTACCTGAAGAATAGGAGAGCAGTTAGAGCCTAAATCTGTTTGTAGCACAGACACATACAGAATTAATCACAGCCTGTTTAACACTACCAGGGAATATAAGTTATCTGTCTGGGCTTCCTCAGTTAATAGGGAAGAAGTGAAACATTTTAAGGGAGATTGTGTTCTATTCTAAGGAAAAAAAATCCCTCAGGTAGTTGGGATGAATGCCTTCTGAATGGGTTCCTTTATACTGAACTTAAAAACTATTGTGGGTGAGACATCTCATTTCAGCAAGTTCAACAAATCCCCCTCAAAGAACTTTGGTATGATATGAATGTCTAAGGTTGAAGGGTAGGGCTTTGGGAGAGCATTCTTTGTTAACTCTTTAGTGTGTGTCCCTTGAAATTAGAACAGAAAGATAATTTAAGAATAATAACAACAAATTAAATATATGTTAAGAATTGAAATATACTTCTGCATTTGTTGAGAAATAGTGCTTCTTTCCTGTAAGACATGGAGATCTGGGGCTACAAAGCAATGGATCAGTAGCCCCTTACAGCTACCATCCATTATATTCTATTTATTTATTTTTGAAATTTGGGTAAAGACATATGAAAGAAGATTTGTCTCTGAGCTTAACTTAATTCTTTTAAATTGTATGAATATTTAAGAGAAAAAATAAAATTATTTTAAAAATTGTAATACCTAAGGGATGTTGCCAAGGAGAGGTAATAATGTCCTCAAGCCTTCAAGGATACAAAGTAAGAAGTAGATAGTCTTTGTCTGTGAGAAGTTACCAGAAGCTGCAATGAGGGAAAGACTGAAATGAGGCATAGAGTCATGGAATCAGAGAGTTCTTAAGACCTGGAAAGGATCTCTAAGATCATCAAGTCCATCTGTTAAATAAAATTATAAAGGCAGTGACTTTGTCACTGTGAGACATGGTTTGAGACCATCATTTTTAGTAATCAGCAGCATAACAACTTCCCAGGCTCATATTTTGAAGGATTTTTTTTCTTTTTTTTTTTTTTTTTGGAAAGGGAGTTAGGAAGAGCTCAGGAAGTCCTCCAAAAAATGAGGAGGCCTCTTAGCATGTCTAGACAAACACAAACACAAACTTGTGGTTCACATGGATCAACAGAAAAAAAGTCATGACTATACATATATGTGTGTATAGAATAAATGTCAAAAAAAAAAAGGTTTTATTCTATTGTCTACTGTGCCAGGATAACCACTGAAAAATTTTGTTCAATTCTCTCCTTCTGTATAACACTGTTTTTCAGTGAAATCAAAGGTACAAATGAAGCATAATAGTTCTGGTCATTCTGCTTTTAAGCAGATCAAAACCTTACTTGGAATCTTTACAGGTATTTCACTGGTCATTGTATTTGAGTGCACTACTAAGCTTTATGTTCATATTAGCAAACAGGGAATAAGAAAGAAACTTTAGATTTGCTAATTGGAAGTTGTCATGTCTTTAATAACTTGAATGACTGACCCAAGACAATTTCCTCTCTTGTAGGAAGATTAATGTACAATCCCTTTTAAGGTGGTGAATCTTATCTCTTGGATTCCCATTTTTACAAAAATGAACAAAATGCTCTTCTAGCTGTAACTTCAGATATATTGTAAAAGATAATCTTTCAAGACAGTAGTAGATTATTATCAGCCAAGCAGGGAGCTCCAAGGCACTAGGGTGCATATTTTAGAATGTTTATGGAAAAATTTCCCACAGATTTAACTTCAAAAATCCATTCTCAGTGCTAGAAGTAGTTATATGTATAGAGAGATGTGTTTATATGAGAGATATAATGCATAATGCTGATTCTCCAATTTCCTTTATATTATAGCTGAAATGAGGTGTTTGTGTATTCCTGTCATTTGTTGTATGTATTTGTTGGTCTAAGATTTACTCTGGATAGCACTATCCTTAAAGCAAACACTTCAGTCTGCATTCTGAACCTGTATGTTAACTCAATGTGGTTTCAGCTTCCACCCTTTAACAACAAATTACTATGTATGTAAGCTGTCAAATCCACATAGGACAGGCAGCTGCAGAAGAAGAAACTGAAGCCTATAAACCAGAGCAAGAAGCATAAGGCTCCCATAAGAGACTAGTCTTTCCCTTTCTGTATTTAGCCCAATAAGAGTGAATTATTCATTACAATCAAGCTAAAGCTCCTCCAGTCTTGCCATCCACAAATTTGTTGAAAAATTAAAGCTCAGCATGAAGCCTCCAGAGAATTATTCTGAGTTAGTAACACCTGCAAAGAACAGAGATTTCACTGTGGGGTAAATTGCTGTGTGATTGCCCACACGTCAGCAAAACTTATAATTGGGAGAACCTGAATATTTTCTCTGTATTTGACTGATGAGGATTTTGTGGGATGTCATTTTACGTTAAGCAGTAGAGTTATAATTTAGAATGTTTCACAGCAACTGATTGTGTTTGTTTTAACAACAATTTCTGTATTCCATGAGATTTCTATTGCTGTCAGCTGTTATTGCAACTTTATGAAATACACATTTAGAAAACTTTCTTATTCTTAGAGAAAATTGTTAAAGACGGGCTTTAAACTGTGGAATTTTCTTCCTGCAATTTCTTGTGAATTTAGAAGTTGATACCTTCCCCTGCTTAGCTGTATCTCATAAATGGCAAACTAAGTGAGGATTTTGATCTCTATATCTGTAGCATATGTACACTCAGCAGCTCCCCGGACAGCAGTGGAAACTACCTAAAGCAGATTTTTGTTTCTTCCAGATGTTTCAGAAATATACTCATAAATGGTGGAACTCCTAAGTCAAATTGGACATTTTTAACTATGCAAAAAAGGGACAGAGAAAGAAAAAAGTCAAATTGCCTTTGCTCCATGTTGCGCTGCATTGTTACATGTTGAAGTCTTTTTTTCTGCATTTTCCACAAGTCCTATATCAATTTACAACTTAAATTTGGATCAGAGTTTAAGCTTTTGGCTGATGTTGGTAATAACAGCTCCAACACGAAATGAATAAAGCTCATAACATTCAAGACAGGCCTACGTGGAGATCCTCAGAGAAACTTTTCACCTGTCCTCTGAAGGGAACCAGCTCTGGCCCACAGTGCTGTCCTTGCGAGCAGGAGGGAGCGCTGAGCTCAGTGGGTTGCTCAGGGACTTGGTGCTGGTTCCTGCAGGTTGGCATGCTGGCACAGCTGGATGTGCCTGCTGCACAGGGACTGCCTGCCTCCGCCTGCTCATCTCTCTGGACAGATGTGCTTTTGTGGCTTGCAGAGTTGTGTGACCTCATTTAAATGACAATACACAATTTGCTTTCATGGCTGGAATGCCTGAACCTAATTTGGCAGCAAACTCTTTGCATTGGAGAACATGCACTGAATGGAACCTGTTGGTGCAGTTTTCTGTCCTTCCCTCATTAGTATCTTGCCATCCTTCTAGCTTTCGTTCCTTTCAGGGAAAATTGAAGCACTTGCTTCACTGAACTCAGACTTATAGCTGCTGGATTGTTTGGGTTTGGTTTTTTGGGTTTTTTTTTTTTTCATTTCTTTTTCCTCTTTTTTCCAGTTGTGACAGAAAAACCCCACAACTCATGAAATACTAAGGAGAAAGAGACATATCTAACAGAGTGACAACTGCTTTCATATGTGTACTTTTAGTGCAGTGAAACTTTCCTCAGTGAATTCCTTTTATATACCTTTTACAGTTACTGAAACAAAATATCCTTGGTGCCAAAGGCAAGGAACTCATAACTACATGAATGTGCTAGGCAATAACATCTAGTGGGTACTCCTGCTGTACATAATAGCTGAGCTATTCTGACTGCAACACAACTAAGGGCTAATGTAACACAGGTTTATTTCCTTGGATCAACATGGGATGTATTAAAAAATAATTTGCTGGGCAAGATGAAGCTTTTCAGGCTCATGTAGTCCTACTGCTTGCTCCAGAGGTTGCTGAGAAATGTAGTAAAATGCAAAATCCCTACTGACTGACTAATCTTCCTTTTCCACAACACTTCAAAATATTTCCCTTTTTCACATTGAAACAGAGCTGCAGTAAGTGGCTTCCAGCACAGAATTGTCTTTGAAAGTCCTGCCGTGGGCTCTAGCTTCAAACTTGTAATCTCCATGTCACTGATCATGGATCATCCTATACTTTAACTCGGCTATTTGGAGGGTTAGAGGAAGACGTGGTGTTTGGCTCAGGGCTCTAGGGAAGAGGAGAGGAAGCAGGTGTATTGTATAAACAAACCTCCATGTGTCAACATTCATGTGCTTGTCAGAGGAATTTATCTGCTCCAGATGTGCTGCTTGAAGAGGGGATCTTTCAGTATATATTTATCTGACATATTATGTGTCTGAAACATGCTGTCAGTTTCTTTCAGAGAAGAACTTTGTAGCATGGGGAATGTGATTATGAGGATGATCTAGCATCACCATAGGCTCTCACAGTATGAACCAAAGTACCAGCTAACAGCAGCTGATTGGGCTGGGTGCCATGTAGGGCTAGTTAACCCCTGTCCAAGAGGAAAGGGAAGGACACAAGGAATTATTTCACAGAGAGGAAAACCAATGTATTGAAAATATGTGTGTCAGGAAAGCCAGTGGAAAATAAGAGGAGTGAAAGTGGAAATCTGAAATAGGTAGTGTTGTCAACTTCTAATCCATGTTTCTGTCTTCTATCATGTACAAACTTTTATGGCTTCAAAGCTGTTATTTTCAAACTGTGACACCCATGTTAAAGACATCTTATAGAAGGAAAAAATAATGGCCTAAAATTAAGTAAAGGGACTCAAAGTATGTAAAACAGATTCACACTTGCTTCAGTTCAAAGGGTTGGTTTTTTATTCCTGCTCTGTTACAGATATGAACCTGAATTTAAATGCTTGTCTTTGAATTATGTTATGAACATGCCCACAATTTCTGGAAATTTGTGTACAGGGAATAATATCTATCTCAAAGTCTAAAATATTGTTGGAATTAAAAAAAAAAAATCTCATCTTCTAGGTTGTCCTGGGGCCAAGAAGAATGAGTTCCTAACGAGTGTTTTGGATGCATTGTCCACAGATATGGTGCACGCAGTCTCTGATCCATCATTGTCTTCCAGCCGGTGGGTTTCAGATCTTTTTGTGTGTCTTTAAAAGGATTCCAACAGTGGTGAACAGATTGTTCAGGACTTTGAGGAGCCTGCATAAAGGGTGAATTTCCAAGAACCTATCTAGGAGAGTTTACTTCAAAATTACCACTGTGGACTGTTCACTAAACAGAGATACATTTGACAGATGAATTCTCAGCAGCGCAGCTCAGGGTTTATCTGTAGCTGCTGGTGCAACTGTGTGTCAGTCTTTGTTCTCCTCTCAAGGCTTTATTTCTGGAATGTGTGCTACCTTCCTAATTCATATTCTTCCTAGTTGCTTGCAAAACAAACCAATGCTATCAACAGTCACAGGTAGCGTTAAAAATGTCTAAGTGCTGTCAAACTTAGGGCATCTGCAGGTCAGGTACTTATCTGAGGTGATAGCATTTATTTTTATAGCTTATCCTGTAATTCAATACATTTAGGTGTTGTAGCTCTAAGAGAATCCATCATGGGTTGTAATTGGAGCTTTGGTATTTGGCAGTGCTGATTGTTGATCAAACTCAGTTGGTTACTTCACACATTTAATGCATTTGCTGACTATGAAACAGTCTTTTTTTCTATTTCTCTCTCCCCTTTTCTCTGATTTGGGAGAAATTTAAGGAGAAAGCACTGTTTGCAGAGTATGATGCTGAACTCAACAGGGTTTCAGAGAGTACGCTAAAAGCAGATTCTAACACAGTGTAAAATTTAAGATACTGTTGGTCAAAGTGAAAAAAAGAGAGATTCAGTACAAGTTAGTGTCCAAAACCAGGAAATATTAGATAACAATGGTGATGGCCATCTGAAAGTGATGTAACTATTCTGAAATAAAAGCATTAATTATCAGAATTAAGACAAAATTCTCTTTTTTTTCTTGTTCCAGTGTTTCTGAGCCTGATCCAAATCATACCCTGGAAGAGAGAGTCGTTCATTGGTATTTTAAACAGCTCGATAAAAATTCCAGTGGTGATATCGGCAAGAAGGAAATCAAGCCATTTAAGAGATTCCTAAGAAAGAAATCAAAGCCCAAAAAATGTGTGAAGAAGTTTGTGGAATACTGTGATGTGAACAACGATAAGTCCTTGTCAGTTCAAGAATTAATGGGCTGCTTGGGAGTAACAAAAGAAGAAGGTAAAGCAGAAACAAAGAAACGCCATAGTAAGAACTTTTTCTCCCTGTCTTTTTCACTAAATTCTTCAAAGCTTATGAAGCCTGATATTTATATGTGCCAGAGTTATACAAAATACACCTGTCTGCAGCTAATGCAGCTGTTGCTTAGGGCAGATGGCAAGAAAGTTGCTTCTGGATCACTTTGCTCCAACAGAATCAAAAACTTCCCGTTGATTCTAACCATTAAATGTATTATGGTAGGAAACCTAAGAAGATATAATAACAATCATCAAAAAGCCAGTTTAGTGTTGTTATAGAACTGTGTTCTGAGTGAGTAGAAGTATCACACCTGTGCTCTTTGGATTCCTGGAAGGAAGCACATGGTTGAGCTTTCTAATGAAATCTCATTTCTCAAATGTAGTTTAGAGATGCAGAGAGGAATGTGGTCATCTGCCAAACTGGTGGAATAACAGCTAATACACAGCCACCTTACCATGCTGCCAAACTAGTAGGAAGGGGAACAACTAACTTGCAGAGTTCAATCACACAATTCCTGAAAATGAGAAAAAAAAATTTAAAAAATTAGTTCTAAACAGCAGCTGTAGATCCCCATGCTTTAAAAAGTTGTGGAAAAATGAATATAGTTAAATGGTTTTGTCTGGTACCTTAAAATGAAGCGAGGACAGTGGAACAAAGGTCTCATTGGTTATATTCAAGTTAGAAAAGGAATACTGCAGAAAGACAGAAGACGTCTGCATTTTACTAATGAAGTAAATTGTCTATGGCTCACAGTAGCAGATGTCTCAAAACAAGTATTGAGCAAATCCAGAATTTTTTTCCTAGGGCTTTTTTTGGTGGACCTCATAATGATACCTTCCAATTTTCACTTAGATGATGAAGGTTAAAAAAAAAAGAATATGAAAGTGGATGAATTTTAGTATCTTTATATTTATCTTTATCTATCTGACTTTTGGTCAGATAGATTTTTTTATCTGTGAATGTGGAAAGTGAAACCATTCTGTCCTGCTGCAGCAGGCATTCTTTCTTAGGACTTGTTGTGGATGAAATTTGGGGTCCAAAATCACTACACAGGCAGTAAAGGAAAGCCATAGCAAGACTGAAAGCAAACCACAGGGTTTTTTTGTCTTCATATTCCAGTAGAAAACTCCCAGAATATTAGGATAAACTGTCTGTTTTGGAAATGAAAATTGTAAGAGGCATGAAATCATGTGAATATCACACATAGATTTGGCTGAAGTAAAAATTGTGACTACCACAACTGAAGTTCTGTAACGGATCTTCTGCAAAAATCTATTCAACTATGAGAACATTCAACTTTGGAAGGAAAAAAAATCCCAGAAGTTTGGCATTGGAAAACTAATGGCATCCAGTTGGAAAAAAGTTATTAACCAAATCATTGGGTTGCTTTACTAGAAGAACATAGTTTTAAGGACAGGACACAAAAATTACATTTGTTGGAATACTATTATTCTGTTTTGTTTCTTCTACTTGATAATTAAAAATTCCTTTCTGATACTTCTTTCACTTGCACAAATGAAAGCAATTACCACTTCGCTGCAGTTAGAGTTACATCTCTAGGAAAATATGAGATTCTTGTCACCTGAGGTGTCAGAATTGCGCTAAGGAAGTGGCTCTGTATCATTTCGTGTGAGTCTCAAATTTCTTGTGTGAGAATAATTTGAAGCAATATAAAAGCCAGAGAGTTGTAAAGCATGTTTTCTGACAGGCTGCTGTAGCATTTTTCAAGGTCCAGTTTTTTTCCCTAAGTCCCACTACAGCTTGTCTGACCCACAGACTGACATGGAAAACCAAGACAGCAAGTTCCTCCCTAGTCTCACAAGTTAGCTTGGGAAGATTAATGGGCTAGCAAATTCATTAGCTTTTTGGGGGTTTATTTTTCCCTATTTTGGGCACTGTCTTTGACTTTGAAACGAAGAAATTTTAAAAACCAGTGATAATCCTGTCCTTTTACAGTTGCAATGTAAACAATGTTTTTGGTTTGTAGAACTGTTTCTGTGGTACCTTTAATCTTTTATCTATTTTTTATCTTTTGCTTTGTAGAACTGTTTCTGATATCTTTAATCAAAGTGAATGCCTTCCATACACTCTGCTTGTCCGTGCTCCTTTACTGCCAGGGATAATAGACTATATTTACTACTAAAGATTTAGTAAGCTTGAAATGCTCAACCTTGACTATAAGCAATATCCTAAGCAAATTTGAGTTGTTTACTGGCAAGAGATGCTCTTGTTCAACTTTCATATAACTCCTTGAAATAAGCAATACCTGTATTGAGGAAAGAAAAAAGTAGCTGTGTCAATGAAAGGTCTGAAATATTTTTTCTCATTTATTGAAAGCTGTGCACTTACCCTGCTCTAAAAATTAGCTTTTCAGAATGAGGGCTTCAGTTCTTGAGGATAACTAACAAACCATATTTATAATGTTTTCTTTTCCTTCTTTTAGCAGTCCCTAGAACCAACACTGAGAGCACTTCATCCAGCAGGCAGGTGGGTACTGAGGAGAGGAAGATCTCCATTTCTGCCTCTCCTGGAAGAATTTCTTGGTATTTTAGTCAGCATTGCAGCTTCAAACTGCTTTAATCTGCTTTTCTACAGAGCTGCCAGAAAAATGTAGAGCAACATCCCAATTAAGTTCTATGTCTGGAAAGCTAAATCAGTCAATTACAGGTGCAGAGTAAATGTGCATAATTTGCAAAGTGGATTAGGCTTGCATGTGGAAGTTCCTAGGAAAGTGTAAGTTGACATATAGGACATATATGATAATTTGATGAGTGTAATTGAGCCCTCTTGAATCTTTTGCGTTCCTGAATGACAGCATTCCCATGCACTTTTAAATGTGCACTGCTTCATCTTCATTTAACTTTTACTTTAGCTGAATTCTGCCAATTTTCCTTTGTGTCACACTATAAACACAAACTGACATTTATTGAAATGAACAAAGCCATGCATTTCCCATGCCTTGTGAAAATCTATGCATTTCAGAAACCCCACTGCATTATTATATGATGGCTTAAAACAGCTTTTAAAATCTTAGTGCAATGAAAAGAGCTGTCACTTTCAGATGCCTTTGCTGGCTGTGCAAAATATGCTGAAGAACTAGGATTTGCAGTCTAATCTGTGTTTAAACTAAAATTGCAGAATGATTGGAAAAAATAAAATGCCAAGTGCCCTGACAACATAATCCAGATTTTTTTTAATCAGTTTTCTACAAAGACTTGATCTTGTTTTTCAAAATAGCACCAGTGTATGTCATCCATGGAGGTTTGACTACTCAGGCTGTTCAGAGCTGCAAAAGGCACAAAAGCAGAGTTTTTTAACCCTTTAAAGAAAGGTATACTTTGAGAAGGAGGGACCTCAGTGAAAGGTCAGGAAAATAGGTTAAAAAAAGTGGTGTTTAATTTGTATGTGTCTATTTTTATAACCATTTATCCTAAAGAAATTTTTTCTGGGCAATATTGTTATACCTTCCTAGTACTTTTGGATGGTCTTAAAGGAGGACTGGTGAGTCCAGTAGTTTGAGTGGTCTAGTAAAAGAGTCATCTTCACACTATTCTTATACCTCATTGTATTAGTTAGAAGACCTAAATTATTAATGCCTACAAAAACATCAGTAAATGATAAAATGGTTTAAAATTTATTCATGTAACTATATTATAAGAACAGCTCAGGTAATGCTGCACCTATGAAATTAGGAATTTGGCTAAAAATACCCCAAAACCCAAGCTGTGATAAATGTCTTCCTGTCTGTCATAAAGCTAGATTAATTTGTTAGAAACTGAACCCCAGGTGAACCTACCCACAAGCCAAGAGAAATCTTCCTCTCAAAGTTGCTTATTGATTTGCTTCCTTTTTTTAATCTCTGCTTTGTTTGATGTTAGGTTTGCACTTCCTAAGGCAAGCTCAACATTGGTTGTGGTTTTTACCAGAAACCTACATACCTTTGATGGAATATAAAATATTCTCACAGCTACAATAATGTGATAAGTTTGTTTGTTTAAACAAGTGTTTGTGGTCTTAATTTTTCAGGTTTTCCCCACAAATCACTTACACCTTAAAAAAGACAGCCTGAAAACAATTATCCTTTCAGAACTCCCAGAGCATTTCATAGGGGTTATTTTAATTATATAATGGCAATTACTGGCACACGTGCATTGCAGTTGAAGCATGACAAGCCCTCTCCCCTTTCTTGTAATCTGATACTGACTAGTGGAATTGGAAATAAAAGTGTGCTTAGAACATCTACGTTTTTCAATTTTGTCCAATAATTTTGCTGACTCAGCATCAATTATTTTAAGAGCTGTTGCTGACAAATTATAGCCTTACATTAAGGCTGGCTGAGAAAACCATCTGTTGGCAGTTTCATACTTGAACAATATATGGCTGCAAATGCACAAGGTGGTTTTCATCACAGAAGTTCTCACTTGAAAGGGAGCTACTGAAAAGCATAGAAGGTGCTCAAAGGAAACCACCCATCTGAGAAGGCCTGATCAGATTTGCACCATTCAGGAGACACACACTCAAATCCTTACTCTCTACTAATTTATTATTTAGCAGCAGTTTAGTTAGATATATGCTTATGTTTGCTTTGGCACACGTTTTTTCATGTTTGTTGAGAAAACAGCTTGATGAAAGAAAGCAGACAGAGAAACACCAATATGCTAACTGTGGCCCAGCTGTGGTTGCTCTACAAGAGTTCAAACAGGGGATGGGCCTGACTGGACTGGGGTAGTGGCCAGGACATTTCCCTTGCTCAGCTCCACCCTGTCCAGCAAACAGACACATACATGCCCACACGCTGTCAGTGCTGCTTTTTGCAACCCAGCAAAAGGTTTGTAAGGAAACCACAGATTGTTTGTGAGACTTCAGCCAGCAGGCTGTTCCTTATACATCACATGCTATAGGAGGTATATTGAACCAGGGACTTGCCCAGGCAGTCGCTAAAACTGTGTTCGACAGGTGTGGATTTTAAGGGCCATAGGTAAGTAGTCAAGACACTGCTCACACCCTTGCCCATAGATCCCACAAAGGACTACATGGCAGGAATTTTTTTTATTCCCTGTATATATTTCTGCATAGCTGTCTTCTGATAGTGGAATATGGGTAGTGCTGAAAAATAGAGATAGAATTTTATGCTGGACTAATTGAATACATCATGAATAATGCAGATTTCCCAACTTCCTTTCAGCAAGTTTCGAAGAAGCAAGGATGAACACCTTACTAATCCAAGGCAGATCTCTTTGACATGTGGGAGATTTCCTCACCAAAAGGCAATAAAAACAACTGTAGTATTTGCACTTTGTACTTAAAAATGTAAATTCACTTTGTAGAAATGAAATATTTAAACAGACTTTTTTTTTTATCTGTGAAAAAGTAATGGCTAGTTTTGAAAAATTATCACATACAATGTATGTGTATTCTTTTGTTGTCTGAAATATGTTAAACATGTTGGAGATGTAAAAGTTTGCATTTAAACAATTTTTTTAAAAAATAACTTTTTGGCAAGCAGTAGCACAGAAACCTGATTCTATGTATTTTTGGTTTCAATAGTATGCCTTATTTTTCTTAATACTGTCATTTAAGTAGAGTTATGCTGTAGAATCTACTGTATTCTCAATTTTGTCCAAGCAGTGTTGAATGTTTCAGGTTTGCAGGACTGAGAGAATTGTGTAAATTCCTGTTTACTTGGTTTTGCAGTTTTTTACTGAACAGATATTTCATTGGTGGCAATATTTTATTTCATTTTGTTTTTACTGTAATTACTAGGCTTTCCAAAGATCATACAATGAGAATACAACCACTAATGGATTAAAAAAACAGTTATTCTACTTGGGATGCTTATAGAACAGTGTATCCTTTTATCAATTTTTGAAGTGCCTTTATTAATAAGTTTTAGTAGGATTTTTCTCCTGTTTGCTTTCACTTGCATTGTTAACACAGCAAACTAAAAAGGAGTAAGGTAGATTGTAGTGTCACTCCAGTCTGGTACAGCCTGGGCCTTAAAAGCATGTTTCCATGGTCAGTGCAAAGCAGGAGCAGAGTTTGTATGGGTCAGAATTGTAAATCTTTCTATAGTGGCAGGGAAGGATAAGCCTTTTTCCTCTGCACCTGGCTATCCTTATCAACCCCTTGGCTTTGCCTGGGGGCCCACTAGAGGAGGGGCTATTCTCATTGCCTCTGCCTGAAGCTTTTGTTTTGCTGACTAAAGAAACTTCTCAAAAGTTTTCATATTTTCTCCATCATTTTTCCCTCAATGCTTTTTTTTCATATGTATGTCTGAGGGGAATAAGAACTTCTGGATGTGAATCTAAAGAAGGGGACCCAAATGAAAAGAAGTTCTGCTCTTGAGCAAGTGTGAGTTACAAGCAGCTGGGTTGATCGATGCAGTGGTAGAAGGACGACTGGCATCTAGAAGCTGACATGAGAAGGCAGGAATGTAGCAGCAAGCAGTGATTTCATTACAGTTTGTTTGAATAATGTGGAGGATCTGACATGTGACCAGCTATTTATAATAGCACCCTGCTTGAGTTTGTGCCTTGAAAAGTTTTTTGGGAATCAAAAGGTGTTGTTTCAATTCCAGCATATTCTGAATAGGAAACACTGTATGCTATGGAATTGTATCCCAGAAATTGTGTACTTTAAGCTCTGGCAACAGGAGAAACCAAGGCAACTGTGTGTTATCTTGTATTTTTGTTTTAAAAAGTATTTGTTATTCTTTTATAATGTTAAACTTTGAAATTAAACTTCTTTATAGATTAAAGATTAGTATGTTATCAAACTATGCTGGTGACTTTTCTTTTGCAAAAACACAGAGACTTGTTTGCAAGTAGATACATACAGTGATTACTTCACCACAGCTTTGAGTTTACAAGAAACCTCATGACCTGGCATTGTGTCTGTACACTTCCTTTGCCTTTATTGAATTCTCTTTTAAGATCATTCATGTCTGATTCATACCATTGCTTCCTCGAATTCTCCATATAGCTTCATGCTGGTCTCTTGCTTCTTCTCAGCAAAGTGCAATGTGGCATAGATAGAGCGAACACCTTTTCCACTCCATGTGAATGTGAGCTGCAGGGCAGCTTTCAGCCTGGCTGGAAGCAATGAGGAGAGAGATGCAAACCCTCGGAATTCACAATGCCTGGTTAGGTGGTCACAGTATGGTTAATAGCAGCATTTTGTAAGAAGCATTTAATTCCATCACTTTGGCCTTTAGACACAATATAAATGTAGGCTGCTAAATTTGCCATGTCAATGGTTTGGAAATGCACCCCATTTAAACTGAGAGGTTGTGTGGGGAGGCAGATTTGGACTAGCAATGTGATTATATAACGAGTAGTCTTAAACAGTGGTTGAAGTGCAGGTAAGTGCTAAAGGCATTTTTAGGTAGCCAAAGACTTCAACAACATAGAGTCATTTAATAACTCTACAACGACTGAAACATATGGTGTTTTCTCTTTGTATGCATTTCTGTGTCATCAGTTTCATGATTTATGTCAATTAACAGTGATTACACCACTTGAATATAAGTAGTACTGACTTCTTATACTGCCAGGTAGAGTCCAGATCCCTAATGGAATCATACTTGCAAGCTTGCTAAATTCACCTTGGCTTCCTGTATGTCCCATATGTCCACAGGAATATTTAAACTGAGATAAATGTTCTATTTGTAACTAGAAACAGCCTCGATACCAAAAAGAAATCCATGTGAATAGGCCCTTAGGCTCACACTACAGTGTTTATCTGCACAGTAATTAATTAGTTCTAGTTTTTATCCTACTCCATGTGCAACAATTTAATTTCAAATTTAATCCTGTTGCTGAAAACAAAACTTATATTCTGCTTCTCATTGACCAGTATTTGTCCTAGTTCCAGCTATTGCTGAACATATTTGTTTAGAACTTTTATAAGGTTGCAAATAGAAGACTATAAAGTTTGAAAAATGTGTATATATTCAGTGACTAGTCAAGCCTGTAGCAATGTCCATTAGTTAACAGGCCACACAGTGAGAAATGCTCCATATTTTGTCAACACTTTGGGAAACTTACTAATTTTCTTCCTATCCCTTCATTTAGGGCAATTTCATAGTTTAACTTTTACCAAACCCACTTAATTGTCAGTCTTTTCTCAGTCTAACAAAATACCTATCTTTCAGGTGCTCATTTTGTAGAATTGGAACCTTGATGAGTGCTCCAAATGACATTTTTTTCTTGATAATGTCATTTCAGATATTGAAAGACTGAAACAGAGAAACTTTAATAATAATCACTGCATATAACTAAAGGAATACATTGTATTTTTTATTTAGACCACACTTTTGCCCTTCATAAGTACCATAAGCCAGTGGAGAAAGCAGACATTCCTAGAAAGCTGGAAGGAAAATAAAAATACAGGTTGATTCATTAAAGATATTTAAGTGTTTACAAGATTCGATAGATGTAATTAATATTTTCTTTTTATAGTAGTAATAGAAGATGGATTAATGGAGTTTAAGAAATCTTTGCTGTCAAAGATAATATAGTTGTCCCTTATAATACTGGTGTATTATATAGCTAAGTTATAGAAACTAATGTTTCTAAGTAAGAGTCTTTAGTGCTGAAAGTGAGAGGTTTATTGCTTTGATTTCTTTTAGGATGGCAAATTGATTCAATTTTGGAGTAATTACTTTGACATTAAATAGGAATCAACTAAGTTTATTGATGTCTGAAACATTAGAATGATTGTAGTAAATTATTGATATAAACTGTTCTCTTTTGTCCAATTTAATTGTTTCAGTTCAGTTTTTATAAGTGAAAACATGCCCTTTGTTTAAAAAGCATCAATAATACTTTTTTTTTTCTTTAAACAAAAGCTCATGTGGAAAGGATTGAGAATAACTCATTTCCCTACAACGTCCAATGAGGGGGATAACAGGGAGAGAAGTCTATTTTTATCTAAGTTAATGATAGAAATACATGCAGTATTTTGCCTCTACTACATCCACCTTTCCTTTTTCATCATACATTTTGGCCTCTGACTCATGTCACTGGTGGTACACAAAGCTTTTTTGGAAGGTAAGATAATGAATTGAGATTCCATTCTGTGTATATGAACAATCTTTTACATAAAACAGAGTCATCTGAGTCATCCTTTCCCTAGATACTCTCTTGACTTAACATCAATTCAATGCATGGGATTTCTTGCTTCATATCAAATACAGAATCCTTTGAGCAGTCATGGGATCCATTCTTGACTGAATGGGTACTTTATGAAGGAAACCACTCACAGAAGATCAGCACAGTCTGTGGGATTGTAGGTGGATAGCTGCATTTTTTTATTAAGCCATTAGTAACAGTTAATAAAGATTTATGAAGCCCACTCAGTATGTGAAGTGAATCCATGAAGTTGCCTCTATTTGTTCTAAGTAGTCAGTCAGAAAAAAAATGAAGAAAATAGTGGTAAATGAAGCTTCCGTGAGAAATATTGTTTCACTAAACCATGATTGACTGATTTAATGTGATTGAGGTTTACTATGAAATGTCACTTTTAAAAGTATTTTTTGGTTTAGTGGTTATTTTTATCTTGGAACTTATTTTCCTTCAACTAACAAGCATGAAATATCAACATGGTAAACTGACATTTGGACACCTGCTTTGTCACAAAATTGGATATTGCAAAAGGTAGCAGTGTTCCTGCTTTTCCACCAACTTTTTTTAAAAATCATATTTGTTTAAAAGCAGTCAAGTTTCCAAACAGTTTTTCATGCTTCATCTGAGTTTTTGAGTGCCTTGCTATCCCTGTGTGAAGTGAAATAAAACGAGACTGGGGCTTGATGAATGGTTGGATTTAGCACTGAATGCATGTGAAATGTGAAGAAAACTGCGATGTGAGTAAGGGTCTTTATATTAGTATGTATCTATGCAAAACAGTTGAAGCAGTGTGAATTATATGCAGAAGTATAAGGGGCATTAGTCCATCTTGCTAAACAAGCCTGCCATAAGGCTGATTGCAAACATACTCAAACCCTAAAATATTCTAGAGTATCTCTACTTTTAACAGTCATTTCACTCAAAGGCTGGTGGGAACCAAAATCCACTTTGACCACTACCCAAGGAGCACCTCTAGCTCTCTTGGTTTGTATCTTCCCTATGAGTCCTCCTGAATCCACAGCTTGGGTACATTCTTGTGAGACCCCCCAGGCTGCTTTGTCCCCCAGAGGGACAAAGACCCAGAACAAATAACACAAAATTAAACATGGTGACAGATACTGCAAAGTACAGGATATTACTCCATAGCTCAGATTTTTTTACCCTGGTGGGCTCTGATCAACTGAAAACTCCTGCCCTGTATCATCAATGAGAAACCCTAACTTCCTGCTTCTTAATGGATCAAATCCATGCTCAGAGTGGGAGAACATCATGCTTCAACTGAGTGGGAGGCAGTGTGAGTCACAGCTACAGGGCATCTGAGAAATATTATGACTCCTCAATAGATGCATGTGCTCAGTTGACTCCCACCAGTTAATTCCTCCTTTCACTCAGCACCATATGATGGAGCAGTGCCTGCACACATCAGTTCTTTAGTGCTCTGCAGAAAGGAGATGTGCTTCTCAGCCTGGAGCATAGTTCTTTTTATTGAATGCTCAGCACTGAGGAAGGAAGGTTTTTTCTGTAGCTTGTTGTCCCAGGAAGCTGAATTGTATCACTGCTGCCTTACAGAGGTTTCAAGAAATATTTTTCTTCACCAAATATGCAAAGGAAGAGGTGCTGGCTGAAGTGGTAGGGGGAAAAAAAAAAGAACATTCCGTTAAAAAAGAGTAATAAAAAAAATAAGAAAAAACTTAAGAAGAGAGAGAAGAGAAAAATCAAAATAGGATCATGGAGATACCCTGAGGCACTGAGGAAGGTGGCCAGAACTGTGCTAAAGCCACATGTGAAAATGAAGGAAGAGCAGACAGAACACATAACGAAGGAGAGAGAGCAGGTTGAAGTGGGAGGAGAGCTTAAAAGGGTATGAATGGAAACAAAGCAAGGATAGAAATGCTAAAGATAGAAAGAAATAGAAAGGTAATTAGGCTCCCATGAGGAGGAAAAGTCCGAGAGACTGAGGGGAGAATAAGAAGAGAAGGAGCACAGGTGAAAAGGAGACTGCAAATTTCATTTTTCTGGGCATAGCATCTCTCTCATACAGCATCACTTTCTGACTGGTACAAGAGGTTTATCCTGCCTTTGGATGTTTCCTTATCCATGTATAAGGTCTGAATTCAGTCCTTGGTATCCCAGTCACTCCAGTGCTTTGTTCCAAAAGAAATTGTTTTCATGGCCAATCCAAAGGCCTCCTTTATATCTAGGAAGTCTGAGCAACATTTAATGAAAATGTTAAAGAAAAAACCAGGGTATTTCTAAACTAAGAGCAGACTTGAGCAGGATGAGGAAATCGGAACCACAACAAAGACAAATTTCCTTTTGTATTTCTTATTCAGTAAAGATGCAAGCAAAATTTAATTAGCTGTGTTTTTTTAGTTTTTTCTTTCATTCATTTCACCAACAAATCCTCTGCAGGCTTTGGTGATACCCTACAGTTTAATATTTTCTTTAATCAACATATAGATGACAAAGGAGTACAAAGTTCTTAATTCCTATTGTCTGTTTTTTTTTCTTTTGTGGTTTCCTTTATGTTCACTCTTGGGGTGGCTAAAAACTAATTATTTAAATGCTTCTCAAAGTGTTTAATCTTTAAAGGTTTCTATCTCTGCGAGAGAGAAAAAGGCACAGAAACAGATTGCAAGAAAGATGCTCA